ATGGCGTCATTGACCTCTACTACCAGACTCCCTTTCCAGACACACTTTCTTTTGTCCAGTTAATTAGCATCAATTGCGGTCTTACTATTTTCATGATTGAATACAAATTTAAATAAGAAATAGAAAAAATCGCCAAGCATTTATGGTAGTGAGAGTCAAATAACGCCATCATGTAAACGTCTCATCGTTGTCTCTTAACAGAGCCCAACTTCCTGGACTTCATACTCTGGTCGCACAAGCCGCCTCACTAACCATTAACACTGGATGGAGAAACATTTATCTCTGCATTCGCCCATGCAGACAATACTGATTTTGTTATCAGTCGTGTAAATATTGTACACAAAATGAACAACGAAGAGCGCAAAACATACAAAATTACTTGCAAGGAAAGAAATCTCATAGTAATGTGACGCCACGCGTGTTAGTTCGGCAAGCTGATGTACATATAAATTTTAATCATAACGAGTATTTACCTATTTATACACAAAAATTGGTATATCGAAATGTTATGTATTGGCAATTTTCTAGCTCTTTGAGTATTTTCTTCACGTTTTCTCTACGTTTCACGGCAGCCTCACTTCTAGCCATGTATACACCTATTTCAGAAATCGCTGTCGCACCAAAAGCCTCAAGCAACAAGTCAAGACCGCAGAGAACGCCGGTACTTTTAGCTGTAATTAGTTTATTCATGGTGCATTTTCATTTATTCACTTCGCAAATTGCTCCAAGCAAGGCTGCTTGAGATGATAATTAGTGTAGAGCTATAGCCACTTGCATAAACCCTGAATAAATCAATTATAATTAAAAGTACCGACGTTCTCTGGAGCCTTGGCTTGTTACTTGAGGCTCTTGGTGTGACAACGATCTTCGAAATAGGTCATGAGAAGTCATTGATTAGTATAATCACTTCTATTTACACCGTCAAGGACAAACATTTGTTTTAGTGCGCTTTTGGTTTCTTAATACTGTCTTGATTTCTCCCTCCCCTGTCCTGTGGTTTCTCTCCTTAGTTTTCTTTAATATTCTCATAAATTGGGTGCCAATGGGGCTACCCAATTGTAGGTTAGCTACTAATTTTTCCGCCGAATGTCAGCTAACTGTAACTAATTTTACTATAGTATTGGTCGTAACGTTAACCAAGATAATGGGATATCATTTAATTTTTAACTACTATTTATATTTTCCTGTTGTTCTTGGCTTTGGGCAGTATGCAACAGATTTTAGATCTTAAATCGATGAAAGCGCAATCTCGACCTGCCGTTTCTGTCGAGTATACTCTGTTAAAAAGATGACAAAAGAATAATATTAAAAAAGAAGAAAAGAACAGAATAAAGGAAAGGAAAGAAATACAAAAGAAATGGAGCAAATTTCACCAAGAATCCTTTTGTATTTTTCTGTTAAAGGCTGTGCCTGGTAACCTGTAAGATAATTTCGTAAAAGGTGTCGTTTGAATAGCTAATAATACAAGAAATAAGTTCATAAACCACAGACTATCAATCAATAAGAAATGTTTCAGTTGAAAATTCACCATAAATATCAATATTTTATTAATTTATTAGTTCTAATTAGGGCCTTTAAAAAAAGCGTTCTTTACAATTATTATTTTATTTATAAATTCTGATAACAAGTTATATCTCTAATATTAAAATTAAGCTTTATTGGGATTGACTATTTTGGTTCTCTTTTCCAATGGTTGATCATCAGGAAGCCGCTCAAGCCCCTAACAAAAACACCTCCTGTTTGCCTTACGCACACTCTATCCCTTTTGAAGGTGCTGATATATATAATATATATATATATCGTTATATTTTATCCATTGTAGTCCAACTAGAGGGGAGGAAGGGATGAATTGGGATCACAAACAACTTCTTACCCCGCAGCTATAGGAAAAGTACCACAGGGAGCCCACATACCACAGAGGAACCCAACCACAGGAAGCCCAAGCAGCTCTGAACAGTGGAGAAACGCATAAATACTTAACGGTTGTTCAAATCAATAATAATAAATAAAAAAAACGCTACCAGCAACGTGAGGAAAATAGTTTACTTTTATTCTAAGGGGTGTTTTTATTCAAAATTGTCCACACGACATTGGCTTAAGATCAAAGAGTTTGGGTTTCCTGTGTCCCACTTATGATCGAGAAACCACAGATATCCCACCAAATAACTTTAGGCAGTCTGTTGTTAATGATTCACCTATGTCTTCTTTAAATCCTTGGTCGCAAGGGATTCTCAATCTTATTCGTCGCCTGAATAATTTTCGGTCAGGTAAGAACACGTGTAGGGAATAAGGGATCACCAGGGATCAACATAACACTATTTACAGCGTGCATCTACTATGCTCGAATTATGAAAAAGTGTTGCATGTGATTTGCATCAAAAGGCAGCTAGTCTAAAGATGAGAACAAAACGTTCTCTTATTCTGGATTCGTGGGATAGAAGAATGTAATCTTTATTCCCAAGAGGATGAAATAGCAAAAATAAGAACAACAACAAACAAAGAAACAAAAACAAAACATTGCTGCATCGTTTTGGTTCATTAATTAAACATCTCTTGTTGAATATCAACTTAGACCATTGTGACACCAAAGCATGCAGGCTTTTGACTATATGTCTTCATTGGCCATGCACCAGGGGAGGGGGATGAGGATGGGGGAGAGAAGTGGCATTTAAAACAAGTGGAAATGAGGGGGCATTAAAGAAATGACAATTGGAAAGGCACAGGGTAAGATAGATGTGAGTGCTTGACATCTAATGAGAACCAGCAGATGCATTAATTAAATGGTGGCAAAGTTAACGTTGACATGAACAATGAATCTTAGCTTTGGCTCTAACATTATAATGATGCAAACACACATACACAAACCCTATTTATAGACATCTCTAATCTTCATCTCTATATGTATGTGTACAATTCCTATCAAGCACAATGGAGTGCATACTCCATGAAAAAGTGAACTAACAAAATTGTATCTAATTGAGCTGATCTGCACAGTATATCAAGCAACTTATGTAGCTGCTAATTATAATACTCAGAAAAAATTCTGAGTTTTGAACATGATTTGAACCTGTGCTGTGCCCTCTATACTATCGATATCACAATTTTTTATTTATTCACAGGTCAATTAGTTTCACAATGCACACCATTTCTTGTTGATGGTATCCCTGTGGGTACCATCTCACCATATGTATTGCCTCACCTGGAAAAACACACAGATGTTTTCAAGCTAGTCAGAAACGATGATGGAGGCATTGGTCATGTGACTTTGGATTCAAATCTTCAGACTTTTGAACAAAGAACTAAAAAAGTTGATGATGTTATGCAAGAATTTAGGAGGAAAGATTTGTTTTTGACTCTAAAGGGATGGAGAGATGAGGTACTGTACATTATAGATGATATTTTCTACAATAACAGCATAATCTTTCAATCTGTTTGACTGGCAGATATGATCAATAAGAGAACAGACACAAAGAATGACAAATGGCTCACTCATGGAGCCAGGACGCACTTGAAACCTTACCCTCCCCAAAAGACTTGCTGTCTGCGTGATTTCATTTGCATTTTGAACAAAAGGATATTGCAGTTTTGAAGTATTTGGAAATGAGGATGTGTATGTTGTGTTGGGGGGTGTAGTCCCTGCAAGGCTGATACCATTTGGCAATATAATGATATGGTTGATTACCCCTAGCTTAGCGGCAGCTGTGCTATGTGTATTTTCAGATGTATGCTGTTAGTAGATCATTCTATGAAAAACCACTTTTAAAGGTTGAAAGGTCAGCTGCATGTAAGTAACTCAGTTGTCCTATATGCTTATTAACAGCAGTTGTCAAGGGTCACAGGTCTGTTGCATGTAGCCACTGACTATTGAGGGCTACCCTCATAAAAACAACAAACAACAGTTTTTTGGGTGTTTTTACATTGTTGTAACAAATGTCAAGTTTTTAAACTTTTAAAACCTACTTGTGTCATGTCTCATGCGTGCTTGCAATAATGGTTGTATGTTTCTTTATTTACTTCATTTACTAGCTATATTTTTTTTACCAATCTTGTATTTCCCTTACAAATAAAATAAAAATGAAAATGTTTGATCACTCGATTTTTTCATGGCTATTATTTATGATTATTTGTCTATTTTGAAAGGTCTTTTAGGAGTAATTCAGTATGGAGTGCATTTAAATGGTTATTACAAGAATGACAAGGGTGACCTCTACATGTGGGTTGGAAGGAGAAGTTTGACTAAACAGACATACCCTGGAATGCTTGATCAAGTTGTAAGTAACTATAGACAGAAACCAATAACAACATCATATATATTTGACTTTGAAGGAACACTTTGAAGAAAGCATATGGAAAAGTGTGCAACATTATGTTGGTCTCCCTGTGGTAGATGCCTTGCTATTGGACAATATTGAGTGGAATATTGCAATATTGAGGATGGTTATTGTGGTGATGATGATGATTGTGATGATTAAAATAATGGTAAAGGTGTTGGTTAACGATGATGATGATGATGATCGTTAGCATGATGATGATGATGATGATGGTTGAGGTGATGGTGATGGTTACAGTCAAACTACCTCAAGCGTGAACACGCAGAGGTCATTAATGACTTTATTTTTGGATTCTTGATTTCATTATCCGATTCAAACATCCATTATTGAAAATGAATCTTCAAAGCCTGGCATATACAAAAGCCAAGCATATATGCAACTGAAATGCAAAAACAACTTTTTGTGCAAGGAATATGTAATATTAATGACATACCTTCTGTTTGCGCTATAAACAAGAACCTACAAGCCAAGTTAATTGAATTTTCAAATTATTATTATTTTTTGAATATTGAAGATTCGTTTTCATTAATGAATGTTCAAATCGAATAATGAAATCAAGAATCCAAAAATGAAGTCATTAATTAATGACCTCTACGTGTTCTACGTGAGGTAGTTTGACTGTAATGATAATGGTGATGATGATGATTGTGGTGATGATTTTTGCATGATGGTGATGGTGATGGTGGTGGTGATGGTGATGCTTGACTATGGTTGATGATTATGATGATTATTATTGTTATCGTGATGGCAATGATGATGATGATGGTTGGGGGATGTTGATGATGATGATGATAGTAATGATGATTCTGATGATGATGATTCTGATAATGATAATTCTAATGATGATTATTATTGACAGCTATTGTAATGCAGATTGCCCACTAACAATATTTTTCATCACAGGTGGCAGGTGGTATAAGTTGTGGAATGGGTGTCAAAGAAACACTGGTCAAGGAATGTGCCGAAGAAGCATCTATCCCAGAAAACCTTGCAAACCAAGCAATCCCTTGTGGAACAGTAAGGTACATGTTATTGTCTCATTCATCATGCACAATCTTGCTAGCTCAATTCTACAATAGTCAAGCACTGTCTTATAAATCTTTGAGGTTTGTTTTATGTTAATATTATTCCTCTTGATTTTCAATTACAGTTATTGTTTGGATAATGAGAGAGGAATTTTCCCAGAACTTCAGTTTGTGTATGATTTAGTTTTGCCAACTGATTTTATCCCAACTCCTAATGATAAAGAAGTCAGTGAGTTCTATTGCTGGCCAATTAACAAGGTATAAGGATAATGACCTAAAGCCATCACGTGATGGCAGTCATGACATGAGGCAGGAACAATTGAATCTGGTTTAATCTGATTTACACGAGAAAGAATTCAGTTTCCCAGTGTGAGAAAGACTCTATTGTTGTGCCTTCTGTCATGGCTGCCATCACGTGATGGTGCAAATAAGCATCTATTGAAAGCTGTATTTGTATTTTTTCTTTTCTACATCATAAACATTTCTCATTAATGGATTGTGGAAGGATCTTTTTATAACTGTTTTAGAAAGCTGGAAATACAGCACTTGGGGAGTGGATTCAGCATTTTGGTTAAGGGGGTCTTTAAACCAACTATATTAAACTATGACATATAACTGGTGAACCAAAAATGTTTCAGATTGGGGAACCAAAAAAATGTGCTTCCAGCTTTTAATTAGGGGTTAATTCATACTCGTCATTAAGGGGGTTTGACACATTCAAGGTTTACCGAATTAGGGGGTTGGTAGAGGTAATTTAGGGGGTTCGATTACAGTACTGGTGGCTTGACAAACCTGCAAACCCTCCCTAGATCCTCCGCCTCTTCATTTGCAATCGTTTGCCTAGGATACTCTTAGATTACTCTAGACAAAAGATGTTAATGAATACTATTATCCACTTTTAGGTCAAAGAGATGATAGTAACAGATGAATTCAAACCTAACTGTGCTCTAGTCATCTTAGATTTTCTGATTCGCCATGGAGTGATAAGTGCTGACACAGGTAATTCATAGTTGAAAAATATATTTACAAATGTAAGAGCCTTGAGGAAGAGCTGATAAGCCGAACTCCTTGCTATGACTGAAAGGAAGAGGGGTCTTGGGGGGGGGGGGGGGCAGTCGGGGCAGTAGTAAATCAAAGATTTTCAAGAGATAGAATATGTCCAATCTGCAAAAAAGAAACTGAAGGTGAAGCACACTTCTTATTGAATTGCACATTATATGAAGAAAGGAGAAGTGGGCTTTATAGAGAGAGAGAGAGAGATTGAAGTTGCATTGAATACAATGCAACACGACGATCTTTTCCTCTTTCTGATAAATCCACCTGACATTAAAAAATACCAATAAAATTATTGCTAAATTCATATACAACATTACCAATCTACCAAAAGAAAATATTAACGATAGACAATAATCAAATGGAAAAACAATGTAAAAAGTCAGTGTACAAATATTATCTCATGTATATTATTTGGGTGACCGTTAATGTACGTTAGCGTGCAAGATGCCAAATAAAACTTACTTACTTACTAAAGAGGGGGGGGGGGGTAACAAAATGGCTACCACACAGAAAAAGGTAGTGTGATCACAAAGGGAGGTTCCAGTTCCATTCTACTGAGTGTAAAGAACATGCATAAATGGCTTAAAGATCGAATGGAATCTGGTGCCCCCTCCCTCCCCCTGAATTCGCCACTGAGTAAGGGGCTTAAAGGCTGGCAGAAGTAGTAATATATTTCTCCCCTTCTCTGCCCATGACCCATCCAACTCTCGATATCTCAGTGAGCCTTAACTCACACGCTAAGAAAGAACTACTTAATGATGAAATTAATCTTACTCAAGCTTGTCATAAATATTTCGACTCAATTACCCTTGACTAATGATGTTGGCGATTTATGAATGTTCCTGACTACTGACGTAGGTTGTCACCGTGTGTGTGATGACAATATTCTATATTCATTTAGTTTTTTTTCTTCTTCTTTCATTGTTACTAGGATATAATAATGATTTCCGAAGCATTTCAATTAGTAATGTCCTTTAATTTTTACTTGTCATATATAGAAAACTTTTCCGTTACAATGGAAGGATTTTTTTAGTGACTGTGCGATAACAATTAACGATCTTAACGAGAGACACCTTTTCAGCTGGGCTTCTAAATCTGATAAAAGCGCCTTTTTTATCCTAAATTATGCTTCCTTCCTTCCTTCAATGCTCACATACAATATTCAAAAATAAATCCAGCTTATAGAAAAAATTTCCGTTACAATGGAAGAATTTTTTTTTTTTGACTGTGCGACAACAATCAACGATCTTAACGAGAGACGCCTTTTCAGCTGGGCTCCTAAATCTGACAAAAGCGCCTTTTTTATCCTAAACTATACTTCCTTCCTTCCTTCAATGCTCACATACAATATTCAAAAATAAATCAGGCTTCGTTTTACATTCAGTTTTGTGCTTGCACTGAATAACTCAATGCGTTGATTATAAAAACAATGCAAAAACATTTACTCTCAATAATGTAAAATTTTCTGATATTTTCTTTGCTTGGATTCGATAAGATTTAGTTGATTCCATGATACGTGGTTCTAAACCTTTAAAATAAGCTTTTACGCATCAAAAATCAGGATTCTTTACGGAAACTAGTTTCCTCTTTGAAATTTGCTCTTCGCTTGATAGCTTGTGGCGACGACTTGCGATCAGCGATTTTGAACGTGCTCAAATTATGATGACGCGTTCTGATCAATTAATTTTTATTTATGGACAAATATTTGCTGGATTGCTGGTTTTTCATTTCATTGAACGATATAGACGCAATATACCACATATTTTACCAAAAATAGACTTTGCAGCTAGTTTTGACTATTATGATATTGGCATCCTTGAATGAATGGAGAGAGAGAGAGATCGTGAGGAAAGAAATAGCAAGGTTAAGGAGCTATTAAACTAAAGGTCCAATCGTACAGTAACTTAACAATTTTTTTCTGCGACTAGTTTCGTGCACATCCCTTATTTCAGTCTCCAGTGATCTCACATACTTAAACGTCTATGGCTTAGACTTTAAAGCCCTGTTACATGTTGAAACTTTTAGATGAAACTTGTGTGCAACGGTGTTACACGGTGCAATTTCGTCCTGAAACTTGTTCGTGGCACAAGTTTCGTTTGCACAAGTAGAAACTACTTTTGGTGAAACTTCTATCACGACGGAAGTTTTACCTTGCACCGCACAAGTTTCAGCAAAAAATTCAAAACGTTAAAGTCAAAAAAAAAAAAGTTTTAACAAAGTTTTAACAGGACCTTAAACATTCTTTAGACGGAGCACTTATGGGGAGAGAGGGAGTCTGTGCATTGAGTCCATTTTCTCCGGCAGATTGCAGATAAAGGAAATAAGAATGCCAATTATAGTTATTTCACATTCTATATTTAAAAACATTCTCTTCAATATGGATGTCATTTTATGAAAAAGTCGCGACTTTGATTAAAGCTTGTCTCTGATATTTCCGACGTTATTGTCCTAACATCAGTGATAATAGTCACATTGTGTCAAGTTCAACGATTTCAAACATTACTTGGTACTTATCAATCAACAGATGCGTGGAAAGTTTTTTAAAAATATTTAGAGCTTTTTTTATTCGCGTCCGTTCCCGCTTTTATTCCCACACCCATTTCTCTAAACAGGAAACATCTTTTTTTCTAAAATAAGAGTACTCTATCTCAAGCAGTGCCTTAAATTATCGTCTTTACTAGTATACATGTTGAGGGCTCGTTACATTTACACTGGAATCGTGAACATACGAGTCATTAGAGACCTTTAGCAAGATGTTTTTTGCTAGCCCTGCAAACCTCAAATTGCAGTTCGACGTCAGGCGGTTTCCTTCAAACTTTCGACATTTATCAAGGCGTCATAGCGAAGTTGTCGTCGGAAGAGTGACCATATTAAATTTCATTGATGCCGAGTGTTTAATTCTCGGTGTTTGCGGGCGTTTTTCAGGGCCCGATTCCTATCGGTTAGCGGTTAGCGATAAACATGATGCTAAAAGTCTCTATTTTCCCAGGTTATTTCCTGAATTTTCTACTGTTTCAAACCGAGTAGACTTTACAGTATGCATTTAAAATAAAAGTGACGAAAAAAAAAAAAAAAAAAACTCGAGTTAACGGGTTCGAGGGTCTCCCTGTAAGATTTCATAGTTTTCATAGACTCATGTAGTATTATTTATTTTTCTGTGTTAGATTGTTTAGGTTAACGTCGTCTTTTTGTAAAGTTATTTTGTTTGTTTGTTTGTGTAGTATTTTACATATGCATCTTTTACCAAATATTTGAACAGAAGTAAAATATCTTTAACCTTTAAACTTTGCATTTTTTCACCAGAGCAATATTATACAGACTTCGTTTCTGGCTGCCATCAAACTCCATTGGATCAGTGGTAAAAGTTAAGGGAGGTATTTTATCCTGTTACTCCGAGACCTCCTACGATCCCAAATGTCAAATATAAAACTAGAGATATATTTTACTGGGAATGGGAAATATAGTATGCATATGCACTCTACGGCCGAAAATTGTAGTTTTGGATGGTGGAGCGTTTGTTGGCGGTGAAAATGATACATTTGAACTAATTGACAGCGCACAGGACATGCAGTTGCCATAGCCAGCATTTAAAACTGACCCATTGGGCAGGTGTTACGAGTCATTCCTACTTCAAGCAAAGACAAGGGAAAAATAATTATTTACGATATAAAATAGATAAAAATAATGTAAATTACTGACTTTTTCCATTTTAAACTTTTCTTTTTTGTTATTTATTAGTCTTTTTGTGTATTTTTTAATTCAAAGTCTTGAAAAAAACTGTTCACTGATGACCACGTACACGTAGTCAAATCATTCTTTTTGTGAATATTTCCCCCCCTATTTTATCAAATGGCGGATTTCTTAGGAGTACGATGAAAATAAGCTTGTCATTTCAATTCTTGAGAGGCTAGAGATGCCCTTAACTACAAGATAAAAATTGATAAAAATTCAAAAATATATTATTTCGGAAGTCCTGTGTTAGGTGAGAGAGGAAATTTATTTTTAGTCCCAGAAAAAACAATTCGTAAAATTAATCTAAGTATTTAACTTATCTGCGAAGGACCAAAACTTAATTATGAAAACAATAGAAAATTACGCAGAATAGAAAATTCGACTGAAAATTTGCATAATCGGAAAGAGAGTTTAAGGAATAAATTCTAAGTAAAACTGGGAACGTAACATTTATGAAGATTATAAGAAAAATCGATAAAAATAACGCTGTATAAATAATGGTATTAGACTGTCATACTGACACTTTCTTGACATTGCACTTGGTTGCCCTCTCGAATAAAGCATTTTTGGCTAATTATTCTTATTTTTTCGTACTAACACATTTCAATATTTTCTAATCACTAGAGATAGAAACGTTTCGGTAGGTTTCCTTGTAGATAATTGAAGCCAGATAATAAGCATAAGTTTTGCATCATCTCAGACTTTTACACCTGTTAGAACCTTGGGACCGATCTTTCGAGCCTTTGGTGTAGTTTTGGCTTCGAGTTTAAAATGTTTTTTTTATTCTCAACTAAACAATATTACTATTGTATCAGGGCAGGCACAAAAACAAGAGCAGTGCGTATTCGAATTTTCCATAAGTACTAGAATAATAAATTGTACGGAGAGCCCCAAGTCAGATTACATAATTGGTCTTTATTTATATGTGATTGTGTTCCATAACTGACCAATGACATGAATATAAATGACTCGAATACTTTTATAGGCTTGGTTAATCAATCAGAACTTGGATTCTACCTATTCACCGACTTTCAAATTATGATAGCCGGAGTTTAATAGAGATATTCTAAATTTTAATATTCGATTTGTTTTCGCTGCTAATTTTGAGTTGTTTGAAAGTGTTAGAAAATTCAGCTCGATCCAATCAGCGGACCTGATTAATACACTAAGAGGTATGCCGATTCATTGGACGGTTTGCTTGTGAGGAACGGGGGCCAAACAAATTAAAGGTTGCACAGCGAGATCTCGTGCTGATTTTTTAAAAAAGATTCGTAATTTCCACCACTAGAAAACCGAGTTCTATCCGGCAGAGATGAAAAAAAGAATAACAACTAGCCTTGTTTCAGAGATTCACAGACATAGCAGGCCGCATGGGATTTTCTTTAACTTTCACAATCCCTTAAGTGTTGGAAGGTCAGCCAACTTCAAACTCCAGCATTCGAAGATGGATTCGCTGAATAGTAGTCGGTCGTCGAGTATTTCCAATGGAGATGTCGACCTAAAAAGCTACAGCAGTAGCAGCAGCACAAGTTTGGAGCAGAATTTCGAAAACCTTAGAATTGCTTTGAACGGAAAAGAAGACGAGAAGAAAGAAGAAATCGTAGGACCAACAGGAACTGTGAGAGGATTTAAAAATATAATCAAAGATCGAAAGAAACATCTTTCCAAAGCGGGAAGTATGACAGCTTTGTCCGAGGTGAGTTGACAAAGTTTCTGGAAGGCTCTTCGGATCATTGAATAATTCAAAAAGTCGTAATACTTAAATTAATCTTTTACTCGTATATTCAGGCGAATGAAGACTCCGAATCCCGCAAAATAATATTCTATTCGACGTCAATGGGAGGAATACGCTCTACTATTGCGAACTGTCAAAATATAAGAAAGATATTCCAAAATCTTCGATTAAAAGTTGATGAAAGAGATATATTTATGCATAAAGAATACCAAGCTGAGCTAGACAACCGTGTAGGAATGGAAGGAACTGCAGTGCCACAAGTTTTTGTCAATGGACATCTGCTAGGGGTAAGTTTTAGTAGTATTCCATAATTTAATAATCTAGTAGAAAAAAGTGTCGTGTAAAATGTTTAAACTTTATAGAAAAGTCCTCGACGAGAAGAATAGACTCAAAAGAATGTGATGTGTTTGTATTCTTGAACAAATATAAATATTGTTTGAGGTTACTATTACCAAGTACATTTTCCCGAGTACAGTTTTTCAGACAAGATAGTGAAGTACTAAAATAACTTCCGTGATGACTTCTTGAAGTTTAGTTTAACACTTCAGAAGTTTTAAGATAACCATGTTGTGGTCGACAGCATAGGAATTCAGCTTCGATACATTTGCCAAGTCTAGCATCCGCTCGCTAAAGCATTATAAATTCATAAAAGAATTCTGTGAAAGATCTTAGTTCATTTAACACTGTCTAAGCCGTCTGACGGTCTTTTTTACCAAGATAAAAAATGTTACTTTTTAAATACTGTTCAAAAAATCCCATTAGACTTAGCATTTAGCCTCGACATAACAATGGCTTTTATGTTAAGTCCTCCAGTGAAGGTTTATAAACAAATCCTCTCCTCAGGATTCTATTGGTTTATAACTCTTTCTATTGATGTGGAACAATTTTTTGCTTTTCCTGCATATCCGCATATCATGAATACTTACCGTATGTAAAGACGTAGACTTTCGAAGTTTTATTTAACAGTCCATCTTTCAAACAGTCTGAATTTTTGCGTTTTTATTTACGATTTTATTGTCAGATTTTAACTAGTTTTTTTTATGAAGAAAGTTCTTACAGAATAACAAGACCGCTGTTAGTCTTCAAGGTCGTTGATGTGTACATTATCTTTGTTGCTGATCAAAAAAGCGGCTGATTTATTGTCAAAGACATCTATTGTTTTTGAAGCCTTTGATCCTCGTTTTCCAATGCTTATTCGAGTTCATAATGTCCATAAACAAAAGAGATATGATACCAGCAGAACAGTCCTGGAAATTGAAAAAAACACGTTTTTAAATTCCTGGTTGTCTTGTGCTCAATACGATATATTTAATCTTAATTAATTTATTGATTAGCTCTCGCTTTTTTGTGACTTTTGACACATACGTCTAAAGGCTTTGACTTTCTAATCTTTTTTGATAGGTCGCTTTTAATTTCACAATTCCCGGACCTGTCGTCATATACCTTGTTGGTTCTCTGCTGTGCTTCGAAGGTTTTTATTTAACTTTTCCATTTTTCTTCACTTCCAAAAATCAAAAAATTAAATTAAATTAGGAACGAAGGGCGAAATATTTTTAAGCTGCAGCACTTTTCAAAATTCTTGGCCTCATTAACTGCAAGGACAAGGGAAATTTTGATCCCCCATTGTTGGAAAAAAAGTTAAACGAAGTTTTCATTAACCACATTCAGTGAGATAAAGAATTAAAAATACCAAGTTATATAACACTAAAATACCAAATTGTGTTTCCGACGTCATTAATTTTTGAGTCATTCTTAACATTGTCTGCTTGTATAAATATTCTCAACGACATCTGCTTACTATAAGTGTTTGAAAAGAAAATCACCGTATTTTAGCTTTCGGTTGGTCGTTTCAGCTTACATCTCATTTGCGTCATTCAAACAGGAAAAAAACGTCATCTCCTGTGGTGTCGTATTTTTAGAAAAATAAACTTCTTCAATAGGATGTAAATGGTTAAAGACTTTTAATTATTTGACTGAGCAGCTGTACCGGGTGGGTGAATATATTGATGATTTTCACGGCGGCCATGTTCGAGGAACTTAACAAAGAATTGCCAATGAATTCTTTTGTTATGTATTCCAACATGGCCGCCGTGTCTTTTGTTATTTAATTCTCTTGGGAATGGTTGAAACCATCAATTGCTTTATAACCTTGTAATGCCCCGGCTTAGAATATGTAAATGTTGAAGACGTTATTACTTTGGAAATTATGATTGAAATTTTTGCTTGTTCCTCTGCGAATCCCTTGCTTGTTCCCCTGCGAATCCCTTGCTTGTTCCTCTGCGAATCCCTTGCTTATTCCTCTGCGAATCCCTTGCTTGTTCCTCTGCGAATCCCTTGCTTATTCCTCTGTGAATCCCTTGCTTGTTCCTCTGCAAGTCCCTTGAGTGTTCTCCTGCGATTCCCTTGTATGTTCCTCTAGCAATTCCATGGCGTTGCCCTGTCAATCCCTTGCACGTTCATCTGCCAATGCTTTGCGTCTTCTGACTGCTGCACTGTAATAATG